TCTTTTGGATTCTGTCTGCTTTGGACCCCGTGTGATAAGGTCCTTAGCATATTTGAGTTTAAATCTATAGGCATTAGGGTCTTGTGGTCTAAGTAAGGGGGCACCTCCTGCAAATCTGGACTGAGGCAGTGGCCTACACTGTTCAGACCACAGGCTGCCCATTCTTATTTAGAAAGAATAGGAATCAGTAACTCAAGAGATTTATTTATATATTCTCTATCCTCCTTTTATCCCAGTGGGGAACCCAAAGCAGCTTACAATGTAAATTAAAACAAAATAGCTAAAAATATGTGGTTGCTGTTGGATGCCTTCAAGTTGTTTCTGACTTATGGTGACCCTAGGGCAAACCTGTCATGGGGTTTTCTTGGCAGGATTTGTTCAGGATTTGCCTTCCCCTGAGGCCGAGAACATGTGACTTGCCCAAGGTCACCCAGTGAGTTTCATGGCCAAGCTGGGAATTGAACCCTGGTCTCCAGAGTTGTAGTCCAACTCTCAAAACCACTATGCCACACTGCCCCTCTAAAAAAATGTGGTACAAAAGTTTTAAAGGATTAAAGTCAATCCATTAATTTAAAACAATTAGAAATGCCTATTTAAATGTTGTCCTCTGCTGAAAATACTGCAGAGAAGGAGTTAACTAAGGTTCCCTCAAGAGGGAATTATTTAAAATATGATCAGTCACGGAGAAGGATCTGTATTGTGTCTTCATCAGATGAACCTGTAAGTGGTGGTGGGCTGGAGAGAAAGTCTTGTTCCAACAATTATAAGACTCAGGCAGGCTCTTATGAGAAAAGCCAGCATTGTGTAATAGCTTAAGAGTGCTTGGCTAGGAATCTGGGAGACCAGGTTCACATCCCTGCTCAGCCATGGAAACCTACTGGGTGAACTTGGACAAGTCATACTCTCTCAGCCTCAGAGGAAGGCAAAAGTAAACCTGTTCTGAAGAAATCTCCCCAGGAAAACCCCATGATGGGTCACTTTAGGGACCTGAAGGCGCATAACAACAACAAAGGCTGATATGAAGTGATAAGAGCTATCAGAATTTCATAGAACAGCATAA